CGTTATTAAATTAAACCTTTATTTGATAAAACATGTTTTTTATTCAAAAATCAATTGCCTTTAACAAGGCGCATATGCGACTTGTTAGGCGTAGCTCCATGTCGTATGGTATTCTGAATTCAAATTTAAAACAATACGATCGAAAAAGATGGTAAAATGTATCAGGTTTAAAACTGCATCAACAGTTTTTGTTCAATCTAGCAATCATATTTCGGTAGGGGCCATCGAAACCTAAACTCTAAGGTGGGCCAATAGATGTGTCCAGAAGTGTAGTGCAAGTTAATGGTGCATTCGGTACAACGGGATGTTATTTACCGTACCGTTTTAAGATTTTTGTAAAAGATATACCAGGTGTAAAAAAACCTAAAACCAAGTCGAAGGGCATGTATTTTCCACATCATGACGATATTTTTTTTTTCATGACCATACCTGGGTAATTTATGTTTATGGAGATAAATAAATAATAAATATTTCCAACACTCACACCAATTAGCCTAGCCCCAAAGTAAGCACTGTAAAGGCTTGTGTTATGGGATACTAGGGTAACGGAAAGAATACATATATTGTACATATATAAGTATATTTATATGAAATACATATTAAACATCCATGACTGAAGTACAAATGCTCATATTCATCACACAAACATCTGCCCCCACCAGGATTCGAACCCGGGACCTCTCGAGTCGGCGACGCCATGAAACCCGGCGTATAAACCACTCGGCCACGGAGGTCGTCATGAGATATTGAAGCTCAAAGCCAAAATAATTTATACATTAATATTTTCAAAACGTTATTTAGAAACTTTTTTATCGACGCACTTACACACGCGCACACACATACACACAGGAACATTGTTTGCGTAGCGCCACAGTAGCGCGCCGCGCTATATATTGCGTACTGGAAAAAAATGTATTTTTTTAACTTAAAAATACATATTTGCCCACCCATAATATCTTGTAATATGACTTGTTTGGGTGTACAGAATGCGCAGTTTAGGTATCTGTCATAGGTTTTTTTACACCCTGTATATAAATATTCTTGTATGGAAGTTGAGTACGTTTACTATTTATAACTGTTCTCACTGTTTTTATTTGCACGATTTTTATGTTTCACAGGTAACTCAAAATGCAAGGTGAATAAGTTTATTTTAATGAAAATTACTTCGCGTTGGTCTCCTTACCCTGACCCCAAGTCCCGTAACTCCACTTAGGTACTTATATTCGATAGATACACCCAATACAATCTTAAGATTGAAATTGACCTTTTACTCATCCTAAGTAATCACGGTGTGAGAATCGTGAGCATCTCATTCTTATTCTTGTCACGTTGGCTTCTTTCAAAGAATACCAATATTTATGATTGCAGTTATCTCATAGTACATTATCCAATATTTGCTCAGTGTGGACATAAAAAATCTTTCTATAGCTGAAACGTTAGCTCACGTTTCACTTGTTATTTAAACTGTCTGAAAATAACGTGGCTAGAAAGGCGGTAGATGCTTTCTTTTTCTACTTCTATTGTGAGTAGGTATATTAAAAAAACTAAAAACCATTTTTTTATTTTAATAATATGATGAAAAAGCATGCGTTTTTTGTAAGCTTCGAATAGATTTAAATATGTAGCAGTTTAATGATTAAAATATATATTTTTAATAACATGTTGGAGCATGCAGTGTGAGCGATATGATCTACTAGCCATCGTCTAGCGTCAATAGACACGCAGCTCAATAATTCATTAAGAAAGAACTAAATTCAAATTTCGAATGCAAATTTTAGCATATTTAGTACCAAAGCCACCCAAAGCTTCATCGCACAGTTGTGGGAGAAGCATTATTAAACAAGGAACGATATACAAAAATTCAAAAAAGGAAACGCGCCGCAATACTCTTGTATGTGATGACGTGTTTCTTTCCTTTTTATAAAATATATGCATCTGTTCCTTTTTTTAAATTATGAAAAAAGGCTAATCGTGTTCTTTAATCAAAATCCTTATTATCATATGTCGTTCACTCCGTTCACTCCCACAATGAACACATTGTTGAAAATGTCAAACGTTGATTGCGATTCAATCGGGCATCCTTTGTGAGGATCAAAAACTCATAAAAAGCAACACTGAATATGGTGAGGAATTTCGGCTTGATTTTACTGATTACTTTTTGATAGAACGAGGGTGTAAAAATATTTTCGAGAGGGTGAGCCAATAAAAAGTTGGAGAGTCCCTAATCTAATTCTTAAAAAACAATATTCTGGGGCATGCAGTGTGAGCGATATGGCCTATCTAGCTTTCGTCTAGCGTCTATTGACAAGCAGTTCGTTAATTCATCACGATAGAAATAAATTCAAATTTTGAACCCAAATTTTGGCACTAAATATATAATTGAATTTAGTGTTGTCGTTACGAATTATCGAGCTGCGTGTCTAAAGACGCTAGACGATAGCTTGGCCGGCAATGTTTGACACGCATAAAAGACGTTGTGGCAGAGGATACATTTGCATGTGCAGCTGAAGGAGCAAACTGACGATGTAAATAATTCTAGCACATTTTATTACAAAGCTTCGTCGCGCGGGTAAGGGAGAAGCATCAAGAATAAACTCAACTAGTCTATTACTATCACTTTCCGCTACACTGACCCACCTCAATGAAACAAATTTGCATTGCTAACCTATTTGGAGAGGATCACTAGAACACACTCAGCCATCAATGGACATTAACCTTGTTTGATAGCTGGTAACCGGATATGCTGCGTGAATAATCCAATACTGTCATAACCAATTTAGCCACAATCCAATTACGGTATTCGATTCATGTAGACATTATTGTCAATCTGATTGATGGTCTGCACGGTGTGAGAGTTTGATTGATTATCTTTGGAAAGGTTCTCAAATGTCTGTGTCATCAAAGCTGCACCATTTTATTTTCATTTTCGACAAGTTTCTAATGAATTTGTTCGGCTCGGTCTAGACTTAAGGAGACAGTTCATCAACAGACAGGGAAAAGTTCCTGAAACCTTTTTTAGTTTATAGTAAAATAAAGATCAGTAGATTAGCTTTTCAATAGCACCCTTTGATTATTTATATGACTAGATAGCGTAAAGAAAATGGGTCGCTCGTGACGTGCGTCCGTGCGTGGGTAGACAAACATATCTACCACATGTAGTAGATATGTTTTTCGCCGCTTCTATCTATCTATCTAGGCCATCTATACTAACATTATAAAGCTGAAGAATTTGTTTGTTTGGTTAAACGTGCTATTCTCAGGAAATACTAGTGCGATTTGAAAAAATCTTTTTGTGTTGAATAGTGCATTTATCGAGGAAGGCTTTAGGCTAAATAACATCTCTACGATAGGTAGGAGCGGAGCATCAATGAAAACCGGCCTAGTTCGTGTCGTGCCACGCGCAGTGTAGGGTTCCATAGATACCTGCCGTGACCGATCTTTTCAAGTGCTTATATACTCTTATAACGTAACGATAGCGTGATGCAGAAGCCGTTGCCGGTTGTACTCGCGGTAGCTTTGTGGAACTAATGATATTTTATTGTAGTTTTCAAATAGTTTTTTTTAGACTTTGTTGCAATGTCACTATTAATGTTTTCTTCTAAGGAATTTTTCTGGGAAGGAATTTTAAGGAATTTTTCTGGGATCCCCGCGGGCAGGGTCATGGGACGGGCGTAGTAAGGGCACGCACTCGTCCTCTCCTGCCCGCTCTTCTTCGGCGGGAGGGAGCGGCCATGGGATCATCCTCCCGCTCCCTCTCGGCTGCCTCTTTCTGCGAGTTAACTTTCTCGCAGAAGGAGGCAGCCGCCTCCCATGCCGACTTGCTACGGTGCATGGCCTCTACCATGCTCCGCAGCGAGAGGGTTCCGCCTCCCAGTGCCGCAATCAGGTCGCGGCGCTGCTGCCGCCAGGCCGAGCACTCCAGCAAGGTGTGCTCCCGACACTCTTAGGAACCCCTAAGTAATTTTTAAGGACCTATTTAACGATATCCCACACAATGGGGTAGATGAAAAAATGTTTATCCCAGGTTACATGTAGGAGAGCGACCCTAAAAAAATTTAAAGATTTTATTCAACCATTTTGTCGGCTTCATTGATATTCATATCTTCACAAAATTACAGCTCACTAGTGCTAACAGTCTCCAAGCAAAACCGGGGTCGGAGAGACGGACATGACAAAACTATAAGGGTTTCTTGTCAGGACTACGGAACCTTAAAAATGTTGCGAAAACGGGAAAAAAATATTCCATTTGTGAGCTTCCGTTGCGTGCGCTGCGTATACGGATAAAGTTAGTCCAAAATTATGTATGACGAAAACAACGATATCGTAAAATTAATTTAATGATATAGCATATATCCTTAAGTTTATTTTACGATATCTTTTAAGTTTGACTAATTATTAACTTTTCGTCTAATTAATCACATTCATCCACTGTTACGCCTAACAGTGGATGAATGTGATTAACGAAGCTGACACGAAGTTCATCAGGTCAGCTAGTATAAGTATAATTAAAGATAAACCATTAGCAACGGTGTTCGGAATTTTTTCTTCAGAATACAGCAAATTTCCACGGCACCTGATGTTAAGTATTGGTGGTTGTGAATACACTTTGAAACTTTCGCGTTGCATTATAAATATAACATTCAACGAGTAAATTCCTAAAAAAAATCGTACCTTCCTTATCGTGGGTATAAAGCAGGTACGAAAACCTTTTTAAGGGGGTTGAGTTTCGAAAATAGCTTATATCGCAGAAACATGCTAGTCCAGATACCTGCAATTTGCCGGCTTAAGCTTGATTGTCATAGTCCATGTTTCTCTAAAAAACTTTTACTTGCTGCAAGAACACTAATGAATTCGTAGCAGTTCTGTGATGCTACTAAAATATTTTTTGAACGTATGATATTTCCAATTACCCATAATTCCAGAATTAAAATTTTACAATAGTTATAACTAAATACATTATAATATATGATTTAGAAGATTTCTTTTTCTTTGTTTTTCAGATGACGTGTGCTGCAAATGCAGGAAAGAATAGACTTCTAATGAAAACTAAACAAGGATGATTTACATACAGAGATAAAAAAAAATACAAGAACTTTACAGGATGCTCATATAGACAACAAAAATGAAGATGGGTGTGCAACACTCACACACGAAAACTATCATAATGATTCTTCTTTGGAACCTATGTCTTTGTAGCAACGTAGTTAGAAGTAAGAGAAAATATCCAGATTTCAATGTAAATGATAATTTAGATAGTGATCTTAATTTAGAAAGTGTAATTGTTGGTAAAGATGATAATATAAGAAGCAACGTAACCAAAGATAGTACGTACGAGCCAGAATATTTTATAATGAATGCAACTAAAAATGACAAAGTTAACAAAACAGTGCAAGTCAGTAAAATGTACGACGTGGAAGAGATAACAGCAGAATATGATATGTTCAACTATACGGAAGAAACGTGCGTTGGTGACCCCGAGTTTTGTAACATGACAAAGGAAGAATACATGGACATGCTTAACGAATATATATTTCCACACCCTTATGAGTGGGTCCTTATAGCTACTCATGCTATAGTCTTCGTTATCGGACTCATTGGAAATGCTTTAGTGTGCATCGCAGTATATAGGAACCATAGTATGAGGACAGTGACGAACTATTTTATAGTGAACCTTGCAGTGGCGGATTTCATGGTGATACTTATATGTTTACCTCCTACGGTGTTGTGGGATGTGACTGAGACGTGGTTCTTCGGTACGGCTATGTGCAGGATCGTCTTATACTTTCAGGTGAGTTATAAAACTAAATCTTGTTTGTTTTTCTATAGTAAGTAAGAGTCTAATATGGTGTTACGGCAGGCCTCTATTCGCTTGTCAATAACCTTCTGTCTCTTGAAACTTTTGAAAACTTTTTTTTTACATTCATATTAAAGAACTGCTTTATTGTAATATCTTAAGAGAATCGTACTAGAAAAAATCTTTGTAACTCGGCTGCGGTCACAATAAGGTGTAACAAAATTCCCCAGTACAATGTTCCCATATTCGAGATAAAATCTACCATGAAAATACTATATATATATAGCAAAAAAAATAAAAAGATAAAAACGTCAAATATGTGTGAAACATTCCTAATACTTGTCATAGTCATAATTGGATAAACTTTCTTCACACGAACAAGCTCTAAGTTACACATAATCCACATCTATAAAACATTGGTAGATATTTTAATTTGACACTTACAGTGCGTGCAATGCCAAAGTAGAATACGTTACGTTCGAATAGGAGCTTTATTCGCAGTTCTACTAATCAATTACACACTAGGTCGTAACCCGAATACGATTGCCAATAGAATTCGAGTAAACGACTGATGGCTCAATTACACTTGGTCGTTACACGAAAGACATTACTTGAATTCGGGCACCTGAGGATATTTGTTTCTTAGGTTTTCACGCACATCACTCATTAAATAAAACTAGTTTTTACAGGTTAATGCACGAAACTTTATTTATTTATTGACGTTTCGTACCCTTTACAGGCTACGTCGTCAGAATTAAACTTTTATTTAATTTGTCGAGCTACCTTCGAAAAAAGGTTTTTTGAAGCATTAACCCGTAAAAACTAGTTTTATTCACCTGAGGATATATTTACACTGCAATACGGACTGAAAGACGGTATCGGGTAACCTAAACGAAAACACCCGACTACGGGCTTTCTCGACTCCGTTTATTTATTTATTTAAACTTTATTGCCACAAATATGGACAAAAGGCGGTCTTAACGCTAAAAGCATTATCTGCCAGTCAACCAAAATCAAGTTAGGCATAAAGAAATCCACGAATGCGGCTATAATAAAAAAAGTGATTTACTATAAACATACCAGTAAAAGTATATATATATATATATAGATAGATATACATACACATACATAGATACATTATTATTATTAACACAGTTTATAAAATATATTGATGATGAGACTGTGAAGGGAAATTGTGAGTTAAGTTTAACGTTCTTAGCTTTCTAGGAGAAGTTCATGAACTTTTTTCTTAAAACTGCACCTAGTAGGTGACCTTCTAATGGAGTCAGGGAGGCTGTTCTAAAGTCGTGAAGATTGGGAGATTATCAACAGAGGAACGGCCTACACCTGTGTGAGGCGGCGGGGAGGGTCCGTTGTGGACATTACGTTTGCCACACCTATTCTGGCGGCCCAGATCAGGGATTGGAGGGTGCTGAGCGGGACTGAGACCTTGTCGGATCATGTCTACATCCGATTTGAGGTCTCGCCCACGAGAGCCCAGAACCATCCCGGCGCGCGACCAGCGGCGCAGGTGAGAGGCTGGCAGCTGTTCCCCAGATGGGCAGTAGCAAAACTGGACAGAGACCAGGCTGAGGAGACAGCGGCGAGCTGAGCAGCGACACAAGCCTGGTGCCTGGATGCGCACATCCCGGACGGAGTGGATGGGACGGTGGAGCGACACGCCACCGCCCTCAGAGAGGTGTGCAACTCTGCCATGCCACGAGTCCGGGGCCTGCCACCGAAGAGCGGGGTGTATTGGTGGACCGAGGAGATCGCGGCCATCAGGACCGCGACCATGCGGGCCCGAAGGGCAGTGATGCGCAGCAGGCGCCGCAGAAGGCGAGACGAAGCGGAGGAGGAACGGTTGTGGCAAATCTACCGGGGGATGAAGGAAAACCTTAAGGTGACCATCGCCAAAGCCAAGGACGAGGCCTGGAAGGAGTTCCTTGGGGAGTTGGACCGGGACCCGTGGGGCAGACCATATAAGGTGGTCAGAAAGGGCATGGGTCAACAGTCCCTCCTGCTGGAGGACATGGACCCTGACCTCCTGGCGCGGACGGTGTCCGAACTCTTCCCAGAAGAGGTACCCGCCACTTCTCCGCTGTTGGTGCTGCCACCGGAAGATGGGAATGTGGTTGTTGCACCAGCTCCGCCAATTACCGATGCCGAAATGGAGGCGGCCCTCGATCGCATACGGGACAAGAAAAAGGCTCCTGGCCCGGACGGAGTGCCACGAGGAGTCCTGCCGATTGCCCTTAAGCACCTGGGTGAGCACTTCAGGGCACTACTGAACGAGTGCCTTGACGTGGGTATTTTCCCCAGTACGTGGAAGAAGGGCAGGCTCTGTCTGCTACGGAAGGAGGGGAGACCTGCGGATCAACCAGCAGGGTACCGTCCGGTAGTGCTGCTGGACGAGGTCGGCAAATTCTTGGAGAGAATCATTGCCGACCGTATCGTCCAACACCTAGAGGAGACTGGGCCAAATCTGGCGCCCTGCCAGTTTGGGTTCCGCAGGGGTAGGTCCACAGTGGATACGGTGCAGGAGCTGAAAAGGATGTCGGAGGAGGCGGCGGGGAGAGGGGAGAGTGTTCTCGCTATATCATTGGATATAGCGAACGCTTTTAACACACTCCTCTTCAGCTGCATCGAAAAGGCCCTGCACTACCACGAGGTCCCCCTGTACATAAGAAGAGTGGTCGGGAACTATCTGCGCGATCGGGAGCTCCTCTACTATGATGCGGGTGGGGAGGTTAAGGTGAGGAGCATGGTATGCGGGGTTCCACAGGGGCGGTGCTGGGACCGCTCCTCTGGAACCTCGCCTACGACTGGGTCCTCAGGGGGACGCTTATGCCCCGAACAGCGGTTATCTGCTATGCGGATGATACGCTGATAGCTGTTAGGGGCAAAACATACGACGATGTCCGGCGGTTGGAGTCAGCGAGTGCCTCGCTGATAATAAGGAGGATAAGGATGCTGGGGATTAAGGTGGCAGCGGGGAAGACAAGGGCCGTGATGTTTTACAGCTCCAGGGGTAAGCCGCCAGCCGGGGCCTATGTCAAGGTGGACGAAGCCAGAGTGCCAATAGAGTCCACCTTGAAATACTTGGGGTTGGTGCTGGACGCGAAGTGGCGCTTCGACGCCCATTTTAAGCAGCTGGCCCCAAGGCTGATCATCCCGAACAGCCGCTGAGCCAAGTTGGCGGGTGGGTGGGATTTGGGGGGAGGAGGAGTCCCACATAACCCCGTCTCTCACTCAGGGGCGGGGTATGCGTCACGCATTTTCCCAACAATAAAAAAAAAAAAAAAAGGCATAGGAATCAGACATATAGACCAGAGTGAAAGAGAGGAAGAGATAGTGCAAGAGTATCAGTAGAACGAAGATAAAGGTCATGTGAGTCACAAAGATATTGAAATTTCCATTCATTTACACTTAGTCGTTTACCCGAATTCTGTTGGCACTTGTAGTCGGCCTAGCGACCAAATTTAATCGCGCCATAAGTGTAAATGAACAGAGTCGAGTACACCCGTATTCGGGTAGTTTTTGTTTTGGTTATCCGACACTATCTTTCGGCTCGTATTCCAGGGTAAATATTTCTTCGGGTGCCCGAATTCGAGTAACGTATTTCGTACACCCGAATACGGGCAACGGTCAAGTGTATTCGAGCCATAATCTAATATTATAGCCTACTATTGCTTAAAATCACGAATAATGAATCCTATCCCCAAGACAATACCGAAAATTGTATTCTTCCAGAAATCAGAAGAATCAAATTACTTAGCAATCTTTTCATTAGGCAATATAATAAATAATTTTTTTTGCGTCTCTCTGCGCCTAGATGGCTTTCACGGGACAATTTTCAGTAGCTTCTTATTATATGAGAGTCAAGAGAACATAATATATACGACTTCGTATGATATTAATTAATTTTAATTTAAGGGTATTAAAATGTGCGTCTCGTTTTCATTTTGAACCCGTTCAAGGGTTCGTATCACGTACCCTGATAATTAAATATACAAAGCGAATCAAATTTAATTATAACCCATAACAGATGCGTGCTATGATAATCTGCCACGTAATTATACAAGGCAACCACCAACACTTCGGATTTAAGCTTATTATATGGAGCCCTATTTTTGAATCGTTCGTATTATCTCTAGTATTTCCTTAGGCTGCATGGCAACGCCCTCTCTTCGCATTGTAGGTGCGACGAGATAGCGTTGCCTCACAGCCTAAGAGTACTAGAGGAAATTCGACATGGCCATTAAGGTCCCGGTGGGTAGCATAATTCGTTAGTGTCATTCGTACAACGTTTTACTTTAGTACTTAACGTTTAACGAACGCACTAGTTTTCATTCGATTTTCGATTTTTGCTTTTTTGCTAAATTCCTAAACTTTATGAAAATATTCATATTTATGAAAATTTTATTAAAAAACTATTGGCCCGCCCTCACTTCGCTTTGATGTACAGCTGTAGTGTAGACAGCTGGATGAAAAATACAATTTCAGGTACACACCAACTTTTAATTCAAAAATAAATTTTATCTTTTTAAAGCTAAAACTACGATTAAATTTTATTATATTTCGCCATGAAACCAGTATATGTCAATAGTTCTTATGTGTTATTGGCTTAAATATTTAACGTAGAAATAATTGCGAAAAACTAAATCATGCAGCCGGATAGTCGATTGATATCGGTGTGTTAATCGCATGCGATATTACTCTTTACTATAGAAACGCGAACATAGCTGATACAGCAGTTTTACCTGCCACACCAGCCATCCTCACCGTGCCGGCCTGCATGTTGCTTCTTCACGACTACAATACAATATAACAACGTACAATAGTACAATAAAATCCCGGGACTATTGAAATCACTCAAAATTCTATAGTCTGTGAAATTTCGAGTGATTCCAATTGAAGCTTTTGCAAGTCATTATAAGTCAATGAAAATGTCTTCAGATATTGTACGCGCGTTGACTCGAAAACGGCTCAAT